AACTAGGTGCGATTTCCAATTTTGGGAAATGTCAAATTGGTTAATCTGATTTTTAATTGATCCCCTTGAGGAAACAATTTTAAAAATGAAGGTACCATGTGAGGGTTTCACCCCCAAAGAACAAAAAACTAGTCAACACCGGGGTGTCTTTTATTGGGGTCCGTCCTTTAAAATCGTCAATTTTAGTTTTTTTAATTCAGGTGTTGGTGTTTTATTTGATACTAGGCGAAAGCTGCGAAATCCTATTCTTGGCAGTATTCTATTTAAAGATTATTTTCATGGATTTTGAAATTAGAAACAAAAAACGGTTTAATCCCTTCCCCCTGTTGCTAAACAGTCGCCCCTTCACCCACCCACCCACCCACCCAAATAACAAACACCTGGAGGAGTTTTTAGTATTGGGGGGGTCTTTAGTATTAGGGTACGAAGCTTCCCCCTAATACTGATAAAAAAAAACACACACATATATATATATATATACACATATTTCTATTTCAAAATCGATCAGATTTCTTTCTTTTTAAATCCAATTAAAATATGGCAAACAAGTGGATTCCGAAGCATAATATCAAATAAAAACCCCCAACATAAAAAACTATGTATGTTTTTCTTTTTCGAAATCGATTAGATTTCCTTTTCAAAATTTAAATGAAATATGGCCAAAAAATTGGATGTCGAAGCTTTTCCCTTATATTAAACCCTAATATCATTTTGTTTTTTTCCTGTTTCAAAATCGATTAGATTTCCTTTTGAAATCTAATGAAAAAAACAAAATTGATTTTGAAGCTTTCCCCTAATATCAAATTAAAATCCAATTATTAAAATATGTTCAAAACTTGGATTTCGATGCTTCCCCTAATCTTGCATGAAAAATTCCAATATAAAAAACTAAATTTGTTCTATTTCAGAATCGATTAGATTTCCTTGTAAATTCAAATTAAGATATTGCCAGAAATTGGATTTCGAAGCTTTCCCCTCATATTAAACCCTCATATCAAAGACTATTTTTTCTATATCAAAATTCATTAGATTTCCTTTTGAAATCTAATTAGAATATGGTCAAAAATTGGATTTTGAAGTTTTCCCCTAATATTACATTAAAAAAACCTAATATAAAATATTATTTTTCTTTTTTGAAATCGATTCGATTTCCTTTTAAATTGTAGTAACAAAAATAAAAACAAAAACCGGATTTCGAAATGTTTCCTCTAATATTAAATTACCAGCCCTAATATATTTTTAAAAAAAAAACTGTTTCAAAATCGATTAGTTTTCTGTTTAACATATAATTAAGATATTGCTAAAAATTGGATTTCGAAGTTTTCCCCTAAGATTAAATTAAAAACACTAATTTAAAAAAAACTATGTTTTTTCGATTTCAAGAATCGATTAGATTTCCTTTTGACATCCAGCAAAAATATTTCCAGGCAATGCCAAAAAGTGGATTTCGAAGTTTTCCCCCAATATTAAAAAAACGTTGTAATATAAAATACTTATTTTTTCGACCTTAAAAGACCCTAGTTTAAAAAAACACCGGGGCTGACTAGTTTTTATTTTTTGGTGGTGAAATTCTGAAATGGGACCTTCATGTTCAATTTGTTTTTGAAAAGGTATCAATTAAAAGTCAAACTGGCCAGCCTGAAATTTCCCAAAATTTAACGCGGACCCTAGTAAAAGGAATCAATGTAATATTTTAGTATTTAGGGCTTTAGGGTACGTTTAGTAAAAGGAGATGGGGATTAGTAAGGTTTTCAATTTCATATAAGGGGAAGCTTCGAAATCCAATTTGGCAAGATTTGAGTTAGATTTTGAATAGGAATTCAATCGGTTTTGAAATATAAAGTTCATTTTTTAAAACAAATGTTTTCAATTTAATGTCACGGGGAAGCTTCGGAATCCAATTTTGGCAATATTTTAGTTAGATCTTATTTAAAAAATGTTTTCCAATTTAGTTTTTTTAAACCAAGGGGGAAGTTTCGCACCCTCATACTAAATACCCACTAAATACAAAAAACTATTCCGTGTGTTCATTATTGGGTGGGGAGGGGCAGACGGTTTTTTATGACGCAGGGATTGGTCAGGCATCACTTGCCGGAATTATTGGATTCTTTTGGGATGATTGGTATGATGTTTAGTCAGGCATGGTTCCCTTCAGTCATGCACGATTTTTGCAAAAATCCTATTTAGGCACGACCCCAAAATCCCAGCCCGGCAAATTCCGGCCCGGGCCCGGCAAATTCCGGCCCGTGCCCTGCAAATTCCGGCCCTGCGTTTTTCCAAAATCAGGCAAAACCAGTAAATCAGGTATTAAGTCAGGTGTAGTTACCTTTTAAGTCATTAAAGCTAGTCAGGCATGGTTCCAGTGGGTACCTTTTAATTGTGAAGGCTAGTCAGGCATGGTTCCCTTAATTCAGAGGCATGGGTACCTTTTAATTATGAAGGCTAGTCAGGCATGGGTTCTGTTAAGTCAGGCGTGGGTGGGTACCTCTTAATTATGAAGGCTAGTCAGACATGGTTCCCTTAAGTCGGGTGTGGTTACGCTTTAAGTCATGAAGGCTAGTCAGGCATGGGTACCTTTTAAGTGATGAAATCTGAATCAGGCGGAGCTCCTATTCTAAATGTGTTAAATCCAATTGTTCAGTGTGGAAAATCGATTTTTTGGCTGGTCTACGGGAAACCCTGTGTCTTCCAATACCATAGCGTGCTGATGTCGCTTGCCTGCATAATAGTTAAGGCCAAAGCTTAGGTCATCAGTGTGATCCTGAAATGGCGCCACGACCAAGAAGATGACATGTGTAAAATGGGCCCTGGATTAACAAAGGCTGACTAATGATTTGGAGGATGCCACTAAAGTATGACATGTAATCACTTTTGAGGAGCACTCTATGGCACGCAGCGCGCGCAGCCTGCTTTACGGTTTAGCGTTTGAAAGTTTTAGGCTTTGTCTCTATGGCACGCAGCGTTTGAAAGTTTAACCGTTTACCTCTATGGCAGGCTGTGCGCGCAGTACGCGTTACGGTTTAAAGTTTGAAAGTTTTAGGGTTTATGTGTGTGGCACGCAGTGCGCGCAGCGCGCATTAGGGTTTAGGGTTTGGAAGTTTTATAGTTTATTTTATTGCATGCAGCGTGCACGGTTGCAGGGTTCCAAGGTTCCAGGGTTCCAGGTTGCAGGGTTCCAGAATCCTTGAGGGTTCCAGGGTGCCAAGGTTCCAAGGTTTCAGGGTTCCACGGTCGCAGGGTTCCAAGGTTCCAGGGTTTCAGGGTTCCGGGGTTCCAAAGGTTCCAGGGTTCCAGGGTTCCGGGGTTCCAAGGTTTCAGAGGGTTTCCAAGGTTTCAGGGTTCCAGGGTTCCAGGGTACCAGGGTCCCACGGTTTCAGGGTTCCAAGGTTTCCAGGGTTCCAAGGTTTCCAGGGTTTGAAGGGTTCCAAGGGTTCCAAGGTTTCAGGGTCCCAGCAGGGTGCCAGGTGTGCAGAGTTGCAGGGTTCCAAGGTTCCAAGGTTCCAGGGTTCCAAGGCAGGGTTCCAGAATCCTTGAGGGTTCCAGGGTGCCAAGGTTCCAAGGTTTCAGGGTTCCACGGTCGCAGGGTTCCAAGGTTCCAGGGTTTCAGGGTTCCAGGGTTCCGGGGTTCCAGGGTTCCAGGGTTCTGGGGTTCCAAGGTTTCAGGGTTCCAGGCTTCCAGGGTTCCAGGGTCCAGGGTTCCAGGGTTCCAGGGTTTCAGGGTTCCAGGATCCCAGCAGGGTTCCAGCAGGGTTCCAGGTGTGCAGGGTTGCAGGGTTCCAAGGTTCCAGGGTTCCAAGGTTGCAGGGTTCCAAGGTTTCAGGGTTCCACGGTCGCAGGGTTCCAAGGTTCCAGGGTTTCAGGGTTCCAGGGTTCCGGGGTTCCAGGGTTCCAGGGTTCCGGGTTCCAAGGTTTCAGGGTTCCAGGGTTCCAGGGATCAGGGTTCCAGGTTCCAGGTTCCAGGGTACCAGGGTCCCACGGTTTCAGGGTTCCAAGGTTTCCAGGGTTCCAAGGGTTCCAAGGGTTCCAACGGTTCCAACGGTTCCAGGGTTTCAGGGTCCCAGCAGGGTGCCAGCAGGGTGCCAGGTGTGCAGGGTTGCAGGGTTGCAGGGTTCCAAGGTTCCAGGGTTCCAAGGTTGCAGGGTTCCAGAATCCTTGAGGGTTCCAGGGTGCCAAGGTTCCAAGGTTTCAGGGTTCCACGGTCGCAGGGTTCCAAGGTTCCAGGGTTTCAGGGTTCCAGGGTTCCGGGGTTCCAGGGTTCCAGGGTTCCGGGCTTCCAAGGTTTCAGGGTTCCAGGGTTCCAAGGTTCCAGATCTTCCAGATTTTCCAGGATTCCAGGATTCCAGATTTTCCAGGATTCCAAGGTTCCAGGGTTCCAGGGTTCCAGGGTTCCAGGGTTCCAAGGTTCCAGGGTTCCAGGGTTCCACCGGATTTTGAAGGCTGCAAGTCCCCGCGAGCCAGCCCCAGCCCTAGAGATTGAAACCCAACAGGCCCTGCTGTTGGGAACTACAACTGCAACTACAATTGTAACTACCACTAAATTGCACTACACGACACTACACCAATTACACTACACCACGCTACAACTACAACTACACCACCTTACACTACACTAGACTGCACTACACTATACCACACTACAGTGCACAACACTACAGTACGCTACAATACAGTACACTACGATACACTACACTAATTACACCACACCACAACTACAACTACAACTGCAACTGCAAGTACACCACACTTATTATTACACATTACAATTACAACTCCACTACGCCACACTACAACTACAACTGCACTACACCACACTTCATCCAGCAGTTGCGGGTGAGGTGACCACTGCAACCATTGCAACCACTCCAAAATACACAACTTCAACCACCTTTCGGTCCATCAGTGGATTCGCTCCGCCATCCGTGATTCACAACAATCAACCTCTCTTACAGGTGTCCTATTTTTGAAACTTCCGCCACCGCCTTGTGCAGTACTACTCGTATTCATAATATTGATATTGATATTGGATATAGACTTTTGTTTAGACATGTATTTTTTCTATACATGTTCATGTTCTGACATCTACCATCTCCCCATCTACCTCGGCAAGCGTCCTCGGGCAATCGCGCGTGCGCCGCTTCTGGGGTCGCCAGCACCGCACCTGCCGCTGCCAGTGTCGCGGCTTCGTTGGACACCTGCCGCCATCACCGATCTGCGATCTGCCCACCAAAAATGGGGATTTCATATGATTTAACCCCGAAACATGGGGATCACTAGCACCTTCCGCGCATCCGCGCTGGTGAAAAGAAAATGGGACCTTCACACAGCTCTGCTAAGGGGGATCTAAGCCCTACAACTATGGTTACAAGTAAGGTCCTACTGGTCCTATTGGTGCCCCAATTAATCCCCTGGTCTTCGTCGGCACCTGCGGTTTGGAGCTGGGGACAAAGGCGCTCTGCAGCATGCAGAGGGCCGCCAAGGCGGCCACCAGGACAAGGAGTCCAGAAGAACCTGCGACGGGAAGCGCTGACGGGAACCAGCCGAGCCCATCTGGAGAAGGTATGGCCATAGTATGGTATAAGTCGAGTGGGATCCTCCAAGTATCTCCAAGTCATGCAGGGCAAGCAGTCGATTTTTGCAAAAATTGGACAGTTGAAGGCACCAAAGCATCATGGATTTGGCAAACTGTACAATTTCTGGTAGAAGGGATTTGAAACCCATGGTTGGAGATCAAGAGCATCTAATTTTCACTGCACTTGGCTGCCAAGGTGTCCGGCCCAGGTGGTGTTCCAACTCATCTTGTACACAACATCCCCACTTCAAGTTCGACCCAGATCTTGGAAATTTATTTGATCATCAGCCAGTTGAGAGGTTCAACCCATCTCCCAATCATCAAAACATTGGCTATTCCCAAAGTTCGTATTTCATATTGCACAAATGATGGTTTTTCTGGTTCACATCGAACACATTGGCCCACTCCGAAGTGTAATGTCCAAAATCATCGGTGGTTGAGATCATTCACTCGTTTTTGCCATACATCCCACTCTTCTAGGTTCGCAGCCCATTGCCCGTGTCAATTGGTTGAAGTCCTATCCTTCTTGGTGAAACTCCAGCTTTAGCTTTTGGCGAGGTACGAGCCATCTTCAACGGTTGCCGTTCGAAAGGAGCAGCTTGAGCCCGGTCAAAGCTGAACAGCGGAGCACCGGGAAACCATAGATCTACCAGCCCAACATAGGGTTCCTGATGTCTTTTCCCGACTTGAACCAATTCTGGGAATATGTTGGGTCATGATAGTCATAGTCCTGGTAGTCTTGTTTTCACCGGGTCGCAAATCCTGTTTGTTGATATTGATTCGCAATTCACTGCTAATTTGAATTCATCCAGATAACATCAAATAACTTGCCAAACTCAGCCGTCATTTTTGGGACCACACGCTTAACAGCGGTATAACCCTGTTTCAGCACCCGAAAAGAACCAAATGCTCCAGCAGTGTCCTTTCACTTTTTGCTGCTGTTCACGCTATAAGTTTGGTGCGCAAACTCGAGGATGTCAGATCGCTTGAGGTGATTGGTTTGTGGAGAAGTCCCAAAAACCTCTTGGCGGACTGGAGCATCGACAGACACCAACCAGAGCTCTGCATAGACTATTAGGGTTGTCAGTTGCACAACAAATGCTCCTCTAAAAATGCGCTCTTTTCGTTCAGCCACATCATATTTTTGCCAGCTCAGCGGAAGCCAACAGCAGCCTGGCGGGTGGAAATCCACCATTTACACTAAGACAACAAGAATGTGCCCAGGAAAAGACATCACACAACACCGCATGGCAAACCCACCGCAGGTTTTTATAAAGAAGCAGAGAGTTTCTCTCCGTTGGGGACTGGTGATTGCCAACATGATGACACGACCACCGGCATCAAAAATCCACAGCATCCAACCTGCCAAAGGAAGGCCAAGAGAAAGAAGAAGACAGGCAGGATCTGTCATGGCACAATTCCGTCAGTCTGTCTCAGTCTTTGTTATTCTCAACTCAGTTGCAAACAGTTCGATGTCAAGATAATTACATCCAAAAAACAAGAAATGAGAACTAACAGGTTTCAAGATGCTCTAAGATGTCTTAGCTGTCTTAGCTGTCGTGATCTGAGCTGAGAGTGAGACTGGCAGCACATCAACGATGGGTGCGAAGATCACAAACTCCTGCCAGCTGCATCGGAAGTGCCGGGTAGGACAGCAATACAGCAAGCCAACCAACACAAACGAAACTCACAGGTCTCGGAAAGACCGAGGGAAAAAGGGTCCACCTGTTTTTCATTGAAGCACAGTAGATAATCAGTAGAACATTCTATGTCAAGATGTCACCATTCCCAAACGGAATGCCACCCATCACAGCAAGTCAGCTTGCTGCGACATGTAAAAGATCTACTGTAAGATCTGCAGATACGACCTAAAGAAAGAGGCCCTTCGCACGCAGTCCCCGTAGTTCTAGGAAGTCTTGCAGTTTTGCCGTTTGTTTTGCACAGACAGCAAGAGTGAAAGAAGTACATCTTGAGCCAGGCAGGGGCCACCGTCGCTGTGTAGTCTTGCCAAAATCAGCTCAAGATGACATGCAGTGACACAAGAGCTCAAGAGAATGAAATCATGCAATGTATATAAATGCAAACGCAAACCTCTTGGCATAAGCTCCCCTTCAGTCCTCTGGCAATCGTGCATGAGCTGCTTCTGGTGTAGCCAGCACGGCACCAGCGACTGCCAAGTTCGCAGCATCTTGGGACACCTGCAACAGTCATGGCTACCCCAGGGCAAGGCCACCCCGATGTTCGTGATCCTTGAGTCCATATTCAGATTGTTCAGTGTTTTATAATTCCTTGTTCTGTTTCGTGTATCTTTTTAGATGATGCTGATGTCAAAAAAAAACGTCTATCATCTATCCCAACAGAAGATATTGTCCGGAGTCCCAATACATAGCATCCTTGGACTACCAAATGACTAGCAACCCCCTGCCTGTGGCTTGGAGCTGGGTCCTACAAAGGCGCTCTGCAGCATGCAAAGTGCGGCCACAGCGGCCAGCAGCACGAGGAGTCCCGAAGAGCCTCAATCGCATGTGATGAGTCGGTGAGCTGTCCATTCATAATCCCGATCATTTACGTAGATTCATGTATATAGCCTATGCAAGTGCAAAAATTTGCGGGACTCATTTCGGACTTTGTTCACGTTTACAAGCCCTTCCACCAGCAGAGGGCACTTGAGACAACAGACGTAAATGAACATCCGCATGTTTATACATATATATATATATATATGTGTGTATATATGTATAATATATATATATGTAGACACACCGTTCATTAGTTTGCTGGCAAGTTGCGAGCCATGGCTTGGAATCCTCGCCGGGCACTACAGCAACTGAACGAACTTTGAGCCTTCTGCAGCGGTTCCCGTGTTCGCCTTGATGGGCAAAAATATGCCACAAAGAGCCTGAAGCGTCTGTAGACATAATGTCTATATATATATATATACGTATTATATTATATATATTGTATTAAATTATATATAGACATATCTTCTACAACATATACCCATCAACCCATAGGACCTTTTGCCATTGCGCACTTGTTTTTCACGTTCACGCTACAAGTTTGGTGCGCAAACTTGAGGATGTCAGATCGCTTGAGGTGATTGGTTTGTGGAGAAGTCCCAAACACCTCTTGACGGACTGGAGCATCAACAGACACCAACCAGAGCTCTGCATAGACTATTTGGGTTGTCAGTTGCACAACAAATGCTCCTCTAAAAATGCGCTCGTTTCGTTCAGCCACATCTTATTTCCGCCAGCTCAGCGGAAGCCAACAGCAGCCTGGCAGTAGCGGGGTGGCACCACACCACAACATTTTCTCCAGACAACAAGAGTGAGCTTTACAACAAGAAACAACTCATCACGCAGTAAAGCCACCAAGGTCTTACTTTAGAATGATCGGGACTAGGGACTGGTGATTGCCAACATGATGACACGACCACCGGCATCAAAAACCACAGCATCCAACCTGCCAAAGGAAGGCCAAGAGAAAGAAGAAGACAGGCAGGATCTGTCGCAGCACAATTCCGTCAGTCTTTGTTGGAAAAGAATTGTGAAGCATCTTCTAAACGCGCATTTGAATTAAATGTCTTTCAAGATGCGCCAAGATGTCCTGGCATACATGACCTGAGAGCATCTGAGGTTGATACCGGCAGCACATCAACGATGGGTGCGAAGATCACAAACTCCTGCATCCATGTCCGATTGCGCCGTCAAGGGGATTAAGGAGGAACTCCCTATATAACCAACTCTGCTTCCACTCAAAAATCCCCTAAGAAGTCCAGCAAAATAGGGACAGCGTCGGTATTTACTGGCTTCCGGAAGCCACATCAAGTAACTTGCTGTCACACATAGCCCGATCCTCCGGCAATCGTGCATGAGCTGCTTCTGGTGTAGCCAGCACGGCACCAGCGACTGCCAAGTTCGCAGCATCTTGGGACACCTGCAACAGTCATGGCTACCCCAGGGCAAGGCCACCCCGATGTTCGTGATCCTTGAGTCCATATTCAGATTGTTCAGTGTTTTATAATTCCTTGTTCTGTTTCGTGTATCTTTTTAGATGATGCTGATGTCAAAAAAAACGTCTATCGTCTATCCCAACAGAAGATATTGTCCGGAGTCCCAATACATAGCATTCTTGGACTACCAACTGACTAGCAACCCCCTGCCTGTGGCTTGGAGCTGGGTCCTACAAAGGCGCTCTGCAGCATGCAAAGTGCGGCCACAGCGGCCAGCAGCACGAGGAGTCCCGAAGAGCCTCAATCGCATGTGATGAGTCGGTGAGCTGTCCATTCATAATCCCGATCATTTACGTAGATTCACGTATATAGCCTATGCAAGTGGAGAAAATTCGCGGGACTCATTTCGGACTTTGTTCACGTTTACAAGCCCTTCCACCAGCAGAGGGCACTTGAGACAACAGACATAAATGAACATCCGCATGTTTATATATATATATGTGTGTGTATATGTATAATATATATATGTACATATATATATATGTATGTGTAGACACACCGTTCATTAGTTTGCTGGCAAGCTGCGAGCCATAGCTTCGAATCCTCGCCGGGCACTACAGCAACTGAACGAACTTTGAGCCTTCTGCAGCATGGGCGTTCGATCTGATTCGATCTGCTTTCCTTTTAGCATCCAAGTATCAAGTATCAAGGGTTGGTCCACTTGAGGCGAACACCAATATGGTCTCATCGTGTGACCTGAAACCACCGATATGGCATCATTGCAACATCTTCAGCCGAGATGTGCCGCAACAATCCTGCTGTCTTTTTCCCGTTCGCGCTACTAGTTTGGTGCGCAAACTCCAAGATGTCAGATTGTTTGAAGTGATTGGGTTTTGGAGAATTCCCAAACACCTCTTGACAGACTGGAGCATCGACAAACACAAACCATCAGCCATCGCTCTGCAAAAAACCACATGGAACCCTTCTGCATGGTTGGGCTATCAGTTGCACAACAAATGCTCCTCTAAAAATGAGCTCTATCCGTTCAGCCCAAGCTTATTTCGACCAGCTCAGCGGAAGCCAACGGCGGCCTAGCGAGACACGACATCCCCAAATATCGCCCACTGCATCTACGCTGGAGAAGGGTCTGTCTTGTGGGGGTGCTGGTAATTTCAGCCATCACAACAGCCGTCGCTGTCCAGCCTGCCAAAGGAAGGCCAAGAGAAAGAAGAAGACGGGCAGGATCTGTCAGCGGCACAATTATTCAATCTTTCTTGAAAAATCATTGCAGAGCATCTTGTCGATTTGGGGGATGTGGTACGCTTTCCACATACGTCTGCGGTGGCTGGCATGGTCAAGCACAATCTTCTGTGAATGAGGGTTGGAAACATCCCCAGCTCTCATGATCGGTTCGATGCCAAGATATGCCAAGATCTGCCAAGATACCGTCAGAAAACAGTGAGGGAAGAAAGAGGTGTCAACATGTTCGATGTGATCTGAGAGTATCTGAGAGTGATACCGGCAGCACATCAACGATGGGTGCGAAGATCACGAACTCCTGCGTCCATGCTGCATGGGGAGTGTGCCAAACAGCCCAAGAGGAAGGTTTCATCATCTCTGGCAACTGACACTGTCGCTTTGTAGGGTCTTGCTAAAGTCAAGTTCAAATACCTTGGCACAAAAAAGGCTTCTTACATACGCGTATAGAGCGAGAAATTGTAATGATCCTAGCGAGAAATCGTAATGATCTTACCTAGATTATATGATAAATAGAAATATATATATATATATTATAGATAGATCTGTATGCACAATATGAAACGGCCAGCACAAGCTCCCTTCGGTCCTCCGGCAATCGCGCGTGAGCTGCTTCTGGTGTGGCCAGCACGGCACCAGCGACTGCCAAGTTCGCGGCATCCTGGGAGACCTGGACAGCCCATAAAACTGCTGATTTTGGGGATGGCTCAGTTTATTCAGTTCATGATTGTTTTTTGAATCCGGTTTTTCCATGGTTTACCTCAATTTATTGGCTTCCCATCTCAGAAAATTCTTGAGTTCCCCTTGATTTCTTGGAGCTTCAACGTCAGGGAGCTGCCTGTGGCTTGGAGCTGGGTCCCACAAAGGCGCTCTGCAGCATGCAAAGGGCGGCCACGGCGGCCAGCAGCACGAGGAGTCCCGAAGAGCCTCAGGGTGAGCTGTCCATGATCCCACATCACACAGACCATCACAGACCTACCCTCTGGTAAACGTTTACATAACTATGGAAAAGCACCATTTTTCATGGGAAAATTCACTATAAATGGTGATTTTCCATAGTTATGTTAAATTACCAGAGGGTAATGTTCAGGACTAGTGTTGGACTTTGGATGATTTTCGCCTGTGGAATCTCTTCCACCAGCGATGGGAAATTCAGAATCGGAAAGATGACAAACATGTTCCTTTCAAATCCTGCTGGCAAGTTGCGAGCCATAGCTTTGAATCTCGCCGAGCACTACAGCAACTGAACGAACTTTGAGCCTTCTGCAACAGGCACCATTTCCACCTACTACACTTAATCCATGTACTGCAAATTGTTTGATTCACTGCGAGGCTAGGTTGCAGATTTGCATGATTTTGCAACATTGATTTCGATGGAGCCCGACTTCGGGACTCAAATTCAGACATCCATGGCATCCCAAAACCTTTTGGCGCACTGCAGGCAGCGCATCAGGTTGAGCCGAAACCGCTCACTTCGCACCCGCCAAAGCTGCCTGCCCAATCATCAAACGACCAATTCCAGTAGAACCAATCTTCAGTGGATTGATTTCATGGAAAATTCACAGTTGAAACCATGGTTTTACCCCTAACTATCTGGGAATCAGTGGGTCACGTTGTCAACATGTCAGCGACTTGGAGCCATAGAATCACGGACATGGATGTTCATCCCCCAGATGGTAGGCTGTGATCCATTCTCACATTGACACCACATCCCCATTTCGCTCATTTTGTTGCTGAATGGTTTTTTTTTGAAGTCATATATCCATATATAATCATATATATTATAAGTTATATACAAATATATGGGGAATCATATATATACGGCAAATGCCTGGGTTTTGCCCGGACGCGCAATGACGACGGGCGACGCATCATCATCATCATCATCATCATCAACATCATGTTCATCAACATAATCATCATCATCATCATCATCAACATCATCAAACCCTTATTGACGATCTTCAATGAATGTAGAAGTTTAACGGGGTGGGGAGAATTAAACCATTATTGAAGATCTTCAATGAATGTAGAAGTTTAACGGGGGTGGGAGAATTAATCAATGAATGTAGAAGTTTAACGGGGGTGGGAGAATTAAACCCTTATTGAAGATCTTCAATGAATGTAGAAGTTTAACGGGGGTGGGAGAATTAAACCCTTATTGAAGATCTTCAATGAATGTAGAAGTTTAACGGGGGGGGGAGAATTAAACCCTTATTGAAGATCTTCAATGAATGTAGAAGTTTAACGGGGGTGGGAGAATTAAACCCTTATTGAAGATCTTCAATGCATGTAGAAGTTTAACGGGGATGGGAGAATTAAACCCTTATTGAAGATCTTCAATGAATGTAGAAGTTTAACGGGGGTGGGAGAATTAAAACCTTATTGAAGATCTTCAATGAATGTAGAAGTTTAACGGGGGTGGGAGAATTAAACCCTTATTGAAGATCTTCAATGAATGTAGAAGTTTAACGGTGGTGGGAGAATTAAACCCTTATTGAAGATCTTCAATGAATGTAGAAGTTTAACGGGGGTGGGAGAATTAAACCCTTATTGAAGATCTTCAATGAATGTAGAAATTTAACGGGGGTGGGAGAATTAAACCCTTATTGAAGATCTTCAATGAATGTAGAAGTTTAACGGGGGTGGGAGAATTAAACCATTATTGAAGATCTTCAATGAATGTAGAAGTTTAACGGGGGTGGGAGAATTAAACCCTTATTGAAGATCTTCAATGAATGTAGAAGTTTAACGGGGGTGGGAGTTTAATATTCCCTAATTTTTTTGTTGATCTTCCCAATTGAATGTAAAGTTTAACGGGGGTGGGAGTTTAATATTCCCTAATACCGTTTTTGTTTTTCCCATAAGAATTTCGGGTGTTTTGACATTTTTTTTATATAGTCCCTAGTACCTTTGTTGTTTTCCCCATAGGAATTTAAGGTTTAACGGGGGTGGGAGTTTAATATTCCCTAATATCTTTGTTGATCTTCCTAATTGAATGTTAAGTTTCACGATTTGAGAGTTTAAAATTTCCTAGTACCTTTGTTGTTTTTCCCATAGGAATTTCAAATGTTATGCCGTTTTTGTTTTTCCCATAGGAATTTTGGGTGCTTTGACCTTGTTTGTTTAATAGTCCCTAGTACCTTTGTTATTTTCCCCATAGGAATTACGGTAATTTGCAACATCATTTGTTTGTGAATGGGAAACCTCTACGCTGCAACGCCTGGGCAAAACCCAGGCGTTGCGCGTATATATATATATATATATATCATATTCCCCATCAACCTTCGACCGCGGTGCGCCTTCGCCTCGGCGAGGCTCTCCTTCTCTTGCACACGTGCCTGTGATCCCATGGGAATCGCTAGGTGTTGATTGGAGAATGACATGGGGACATAATGGGGATGTAACCATTGATAAAAGTATGATAAAAGTATGATAAAAGTATGATACTAGTATGAAACTAGTATGAAACTAGTATGATAATGATCGATTGACATACTGTCAGTTGCTGAGATATCACCAACGCAGCCAAGCTCATGACTCATCGATGTCGTTGCCGCAGTAAAACGTGTCATCACAGATGAATGAAGTACTTATTATTCCCTCAATCGAACTAGATCGAGATGTGATATTGTATGTGTATATATATATATTGTACGATTCTACATGTATTTACAATATATATATATACATGTATATATATATAACACATACCCAATCGTAGTTGTCATGACCGACAAAAGCGACATCCACCCAGGACGCTGCAGAACTGCAGTTCCGAGCCAGGCACCGTCTTGCGGGTCTCGTAGTTGGAGAGCAACCAACTGCAGTCCTGATTCAGCCCAGGTTGACCATTCCCCCAAGAGGAACACAAGAAAAATGTAGAAATTGTCTGATTTAATGCTAAAATTAGGATATGTGATACATATATTATATTATATTATATTGTATTGTATTATATTATATTCTATATTATATTCTATTCTATATTATATTATATTATATTATATTACATTACAGTATATTATATTATATTATTGATATTATATTATATCATATCATATTATATTACATCATATCATATTATATCATATCATATTATATTATATTATATATTATATTATATCATATTATATATTATATCATATTATATATTATATCATATTTTATTTTATATTGTATTATATTTTATATATATATACTACATATATATATATTACATAAATATATATATATATATTGCATATAAAAATATATTACATATATATATATATACGTATATATGTAATGACATATCTATCATTGTGATAAACCATCCCCACTAGAGGTCTTTTATTGGGAATACCCCCAGTCATGTTTATTATTGAATTTACCACACTAGTTGAA